AAATTTCCCCCCAAAACAGTTATTTTTCCTTGACGGACGACTGGACATCAACAGAATATCGAAACTGTGAACGGCATCTCAGACACCTATTCATGCCATGGAGGGCGCGATATGAATTATGGGTAAGAGTTCCTTGGGGACTCTTCACCCGTAACTCTGATACAAACCTTGCTCCTCACCATTTAAATTGTATATACTCCTCGTCAGGAACGGGGTAGAAATGTTAGGGGTAGGGTTTATGTTAGGGGTATGGGGTCCTAAAGAACTTATTCCGAATGGTGCACTGAACGAAGATGCATGTAATTTGGACAGTTTGTAATACAAAGAATTCAAGAGAATATCATTTTCGTCAAGAAGGGCAACTTGAGTGTGAAATGGCATACCGATTAAAAGTGGGGATTTGCATGGTCTCGATGGACGTACGTATATAATCTACATCGTATTATAGCTACTCACCATAATTTCAAATTCACAAAATTTTCTCAGTTATAGTCTGCACTTTCCGTAAAAAGAACTTTTTTTGAGTAAAAAATGAAAATTGACTCAAATTTTATTTGTTGGCTCCAAAATTAGAGTTCATTTCCGGAAATATTGCAGAATATATCAAACAAAATTGCAGAATAATTTGGGCAAGATGTGGTGTGTGCTGGTGAAAAAGTTTAAATAGCTAAACTTCAAAAGGAATATAAACTACGTCTTAATCACACTCTCACTGTACGTTTATCTAAAAAAATGTTCTTCACACATGATATGCAAATTCTATGCAAATTTGATGCTGATTTAAATGATGCAATAATGCATTCGACACCATAGATTATCTTTAAACAAATATTAAAATTTACAGTGTTTTCACAACATGGCATCGTTATATTGATTATATTGATCCTTGAATTTTAAGTTAAATTTTATACATATAATATTGTTAATTATCAACATCCTTGCCATAACTATTTACATTAATATACATGAAATAAATAATATTTTAAGGCAGTAATTGTTTCTGTAATTAAGTAGACGTTCGTTCATTCAAACCTTGACTGCATAGTTATACATGTTCTTCGTGATGTCCGACTTCGCCTGCATTACCGTCTACTCGATGTGGGCGGTTTTCACTAAACACCATTTCGAATCGCGTTTTGTGACGCAGTGACTGTATCAAGGTGGGCAGCGCGGTTGTCTACAGTGATCATGGGTTCGAATCTTGTGTTTCATATTGTAATGTTTATCCGTTTCTTTGAATGTATAATTTATTGCATAATGAACATAAACTGTTTGCAGTAGATTCTCAATTACCTGACCATGTACTAAATAGTGCATAATATAGAAATATTGACGCGGGCCAAGGTTCATATACAGATTGTTCGACTCAAAGAAAGCGTTGTTAGGCCTACTGAAAAACCTAATAAACGATAAAGCTCTCACGAGGAAAACTCATCATTAGTTTTTAGTTGTTTTTTTCGTATTATATTAGTGTAATGAATATCATCAAACGACATTTTTAAACAGTTCTTAGATGCAGTAGTTTTCAGTACATATTTTCTTTCCCTTCGATCTTTAGTATTCATCTTTAATGGGTTAATACACTCTTTAAATGTTTCTTGTAGTTTACCTCGTAACTGTTTCAAGTCTTGCTCAAAGGTAGGCCCGTACTCAGCTATCTTCTCCCACAGTGTTCTGTTAAAATGTTGATAAAGCAGAAAATCTCCCCTATTCCATTTTAAGAGTTTGTCACGTGTTTGTTGCGTAATTATATGATGTGAAGTACCCAAACCTTTTGAAATATAAACAATATCGTCCATGCTCCAACACAGTTGATTTTTTAGTATCAGCAAAGACTCGTCAAAGTATTCTGTGATGAGAACTAGGTCCAACTCCCGATCCAGAACTGCTATGTATTTGTGGACTCGGTCATCTAATTTTTTACCGGTATCTTTATTTTGTGTTTTAAGTCCAAGGTCATAAAGCTGACCGTTGTGACCTTGCCACCAAAACTTCATTTTTCCAGTTAGAAATCTCGTAGGCCTTTCCATGAAAGTGGCAAATAAATCTGCACTTCCTCTACGATAAGCTTTCACAGCCTTTGTCCACTCGAAGTAGGTAAACGCGGACACCAGCTGATTTACAGGATGACGTAATACAGTGATGTAAGTTGCGTTGGGAATAACAGCCTCCATTTCATGTCGATTATAACCCACGTGATTAGTTAATATATCGTAATGTGTCCCACCATTTAGTGGTGGGTATTTGGTGCTGTTTAACATGTTCTGCTTAAAACCATATCTACTTGATAAAATATGACCTCTTGGGGGAACAGCAAATGACAAATTTCGCGAGTCACCAAATCGTTGAATGATGGACGCCATTGTGCTACTAGCAGTTTTGTGAGTTTTAATGTACACCACTTTCGTGACTTGCTTACATTCCGTGCCAGCATTTCTAAAAATAAAATAAAAAAAAACATACAGTCCAGGAATATAACAATTAGACACAGTACAGTTGTATTTTAAAGTCAAGAAAAAAAATGCCAATATTTAAGTGATCAAGACATATATTCGCAAACGTGTAATTTCGAAATAGGAATTGATTGCTATATTAGGCTGGTCATTTTGCCATCGACAAAGTAAATAAATTCTGAAAGCTTCTGTGTAAAAAAACATATGAATTAAAATTGTTACATTATTTACTTTATTCAGTTCATCATTGTTATTATCATTGGTATTAAACTCGAATTTGAACTTAACCTAATGTTTAAGATCTCGTTAAAAGACTTACTTTAAATTACCATAGGTAGGGTTCAAGTGAAGTGCTTGAACGATTTTCAATTTGTTTTTAGATGTTCAAGTCAGCTAGTGATCGATTCGTAGAAGAAAAAAAATAACCAAATTATACTAAGACATGTTCAATTTAAACAGCTTCTCGTGGCAGACATGACTTCAATATCTATAGATTCACAGTCATCAGGCACCGCATGTTTAGAAAACAATTAATTCATCTGTATCAGACCCATATTACCTCGGAAATCTGATTAGTGGTGTGAGACCTGAATTCGAACATTTAGGGCAAACATTAATTAACATTACCACAAATTGCCGTGTGGCTAATAACGGCCAAGTTATTTTTTAATATTTTCCGGAATCTAATTTTTTTGTTTTTAACGTAATAAATTGCCGTCAAGTAATCACAATTTTAAAGTTTAGCTGTAGTTTGCAATGTTGTTCTTGTGGTGGCTACATCGCCTTTTAAAAAATAGGATTTTGAAATGAACAACAAAAATCTAAATTCTATTTACTGTCTCGACGGAAGATCATTGGCACATTTCAGATATACTTAGTTGGGCTACGCCTGAATATAGAACTTTAAACCAAACTGTTCTTGTCAAGAAATTGTTTCTCGTTTACCGACTACAGTTTTTAACAACTGTGAAATCAACGTGTCTCTACCTGCGGTTACAACATCAGCTCCAAGAAAACGTCCGTTTGATGTGTATTATTCGGACGGTCAGTAAATGACCAAATTTGCTGGACTGTAGTGTTCATACTTAAAAAAGAAAGTTTATAACGAGTTCGTATTTATTGCTGTTAAAAATATTGTTATAAATTTACGTTCATTCGCTGTTTTATTAATACGTAATTTGTGGATATATTTGGCGACATTCGTTTGTGTATTGTGCTAGGGTTGTTGACGCGTTTGTGTCGTTTAGAATCCCCCACATAAATCCGCGCCAGTAAAAAGGCTCTATCGAAACCCGGATTAAATCGAATAGGTTTTCTTTTGGTCCAGACGAGCGAAAAATAACATAACTATAGGCTTTTTTTCATATAAGGTATATGATAAAACCTTTATAGACTGGATACGGATTTTGCTGCCCTCGATCGTACGGATCACACGCCCTCGCAAGCTAGGGCACATTTTCTGAAAGCTTGGGTGTAGGATACAACATACGAGATGGTTTAGTTATACTATTTCTTTCACGGTGGAAAATTGTACGAGCAGGGATGTCACCATATGATTTACACTAACCGGACAAAGTCTGAACTTAATTTTTCAACAAGCTAAGTCATGCTCTTTGCCGATTGATTGCTTCAATGACGTCAAAATGACGTACATATGTGACAAAATATTGTTAAAATATACAAGTGTTGGGTTATGAAATCGTTCGCCAGTTAAACACCGTATATCTTACAGGCGCGAATTTGTTATTTACAAACTTCTACTGATCAAACACAATTTAGATGTTGCTGCTGGCTTACCTAACTCACATAAAGGTATAAATGCCAGCAGTATCTAGAGGGCGTAAAAGAAACGATGTCTTAAATAACAGAAGCGCAAAACAATTAAACTCCCTGTTTTAGTGGTTTTCTTTAACCTGTCATGACGTTTTTCAAAAAATTATTTCGAAAATACGTGTCGTGGTCAATGTTGTTTGGTTCATCTTTGTTATTATTATTAGTATTGAGCCCGAATTTGTACTTGACTTCGCGGTTAATGATCTCAATAATAAAAGACTTACTTTAAGCTTTCCTGTGTAGGTTCAGTGATCGAAGTATTTTTTTCGTTTTTCAAGTCAGCTAGTGATCGATTCCTAGAAGAAAAAAATAATCGAAAGCTATACAGGCGTTCGAACAATGGCACCATATGTTTAATTCAAACACTTTCTCATGGCAGACATGGCTTCAATATCTATATATTCAAACATTGAGGCCAATTTACATAGCTCTAATATATTCAAATGACTGAACGCATTCTGTGAATGCATGGAATGCAATCGCTGCCGGGATCTCGTTGATAGCGAGAGAGCTACCAAGCTTGGTTTTGTTTTTTAGAACACTATTTGGGTGAGGAGCTCTCATTATCGCTGTCTGCGAGATCCCAGCAGCCATTTCCATCTAAGGTGTTTTATCATAATTTTGAGTAGACTTACTGTATACTTGACTGTGTTGGTACAGGCACAGTCACGTTCATCAAAAGATGTGCCGGCCGTAATTCCTGCATGTTCCAGTATGGTGTGGATTGGTTTCTTGAAAAAAAATAAACATTTTGCACTCTGATGAAAATCAGATGAATTATATGTAACAGTTAATTTTTGGCGGGTGGAGCAGCCAAGCAGTTCATTGATTTATTGAAAATCCATTCAATAACATACTAGTACTTCCTTTTTCATTATTTGTCATTTCATTTTGACCATCATCAAATTTGTATAGCACATTATTAAGCCTGGAAATACCAAACAAATGTTTTTGTGTTTTTCGAATCTCCATTCGATGTTTTGATACCACTACGTAACTATGAACTTTGCCAGTCCTTTTTTTACATTCGATTTCACGCTTAACGCGGGAACTCGCAGTGAACGGAAAATGGAGTGTTTGTTCTTTCTCGACACTGTGTTCATGCGTTGAACATTGAATGACGCAGTATATTCTGTCACCAATAAAAAAATATGTGTCGTGCTTACTCACTTCATGAAGATCACTAAATTATCAGCATTTACGACTACGTATACGAAGGCACAGATGGCAGCTGACAATGCAAACAATAGCGCGTACACACGACGTCCGGAGCAGCCCAACATGATGTATTTTGTACTTTCTTCAGTTCGAAGGAGTTGTTATATCAGATATCAGCATCTGTGTAAAAGTATGTCTCTGGTTAGAAAAAAGAAAACGATAACGATTACACAAATATGAATTCAAAATTCACCACCCCGACCACGCTTTGTGAAATTGGCGAATCAATAGAATAGAATAGGATAGGATAGGATAGGATAGGATAGAATAGAATAGAATAGAATAGAATAGAATAGAGTAGAATAGAATAGAATAGAATAGAATAGAATAGAATAGAATAGAATAGAATAGAATAGAATAGAATAGAATAGAATAGAATAGAATAGAATAGAAAAGAAAAGTGAGTTTTATGTGTTCCCTTAATCCCTCATAACTGCCCGGGCCGAGACTTGTATTGAACAGTTACCACAAATGTATGTGTCAGTAAATAGTGTCTTTTTTTAGAATAGTGACTTTTGTGTGTTCCTTTTATCTTATCTTATATTGAACAGCTGCCACATATTTATGTTTTAATATTTAATATATTTATGTTTTTTCTTGAGTCTATAATTTCAGCATTCATTACTCATGTTATAAATATAAAATTAACAAATCGACGCAAAAAAAATAAAAAACGTTTTCCAAACCATTAAAAAGTTTAGTTCGCGGCGTCCATTGGTTAGAGGTAATTGTAAAGCCGGTGACAGGATGTGGTAATTGCAAGGCACAGTAAAGTTGTAGTTTTTCTATTAAGCGCTAAGCAACAGAGAAACGATAAATACTGATTCAAACAGTTTATAAGTTATTCTCGTCGCCGTTTTCATACTATGACCAGTCTTTACATATTACAGTAAGTAAAATACAAAACTTACAACAAAATGGTCTGATAATAAAAATCATTAAGCTGCAGACCAGAGATAGGTATGGGTGTGTGTTTTGGCACAGTTGACGTAATAGATAAAGATACTTAGCATGGGCTAATGAATTGTGCGCGAACGCTTTACTGGGGCTAAATGCCAGAAACGCCATTGTATTTGGAAGATTTACTATTATATGTATAACTATTCCTTTCGGTATACTGTGTCCGACATAACAACCAACGCGAGAAGATCTAGGGACATTGTTCTCAAGAAAACCATAACTGACGATGAGATACTACTTCCTGCTATTCTGCAATAGCCGTGGAACTAATATGTATACCTTCCTGCACTGAGTAATCATAGTTTACAGGACTGACGATTAGTATACCAGTATTCTTTGCATGTTTGACGTTCTTTAGCCCGTGCTAACCGTCGTTTCCTCCCTCGTGTGAACGCAATGAGCAAAACATACATGATTAGGTCAAATATCAACCCGTACTTGGTGCAGCCAGTACACGACTAATGGCCTTTATCAAAATTAATGTTTACTTGGTAAACATTAGTGTACTTGGCCAACGTACAACATGTAGAGTGCGCGAGTGGGTACTAAATAAATAGTAAATAGTATATAGTTATTAACTGTAACTAGGGTGTACATGAGGAGTTTTCTCTTTGGTGGGAATCAGTGAAAGGCTGAGATGCTAGAATATCCCATCATGCCTTGCAAGTTACACATGTTTTTTGTGTTGAAACAATAACTTGTAGGTTATATAAATAAGATATTTTTTTATTTTATTTTTTTTTCAATGTTTTTTTTCACTAATCTGTCACTTACTGCAATTCATTTGATTTACGTTTTAACGGTAGCTATGAGTGGGACTTAAACACACTGCCTTATATTGTCACGTGATTAGTTCCACCTTATTTATTAGGTTTAAAGTTTCATTATTATCATTATGGCGAAAGTTGAAGTTCTCATAATATTGTATTGAAGAAAACAAACAAGAGACTGTATGCAAGTCTAAATCCTAATTGACCGACAAGCAATATTTACACAGTAGCCACCCATGTTCTCACGTATTTGACAAGTCATGACACAACCTTCAGTGTTTACAACGGTGTAAAAATGCATTATACATTATGTATGCTAGAGTTGAAGGTAGAAGTTTATGAACTGTTAAAACTTGAGAGAATCGGACTCTGTGGAGTCATTAGTTCCAAAGAAGGTCATCCCGTCCCTAGCAATAGAGCCGGCATATATCAGTGAGACTCTGTGATACCGGTCGTCGTTAATATCGATTGGCCTACTTTGCTAGCTCAACTGACGCTACCTGTGGCTGATATGCCGGTATGCTTTGGCGGCCACAATACGTAGATGAAAACATTGATATACAGATCTGATATAGTGTCATCGTTTACTCCTATTGGGTTGATGTCGGATATTATTACTTAAATGAGAGTTAAAGTAGGCTTACCGCATTGCTCCTACCGCTGTGGATTCACATGGATGCTAACACACGGCTACTATGCCAGAAGAGCCCCAAGCAAACACACGCGATTGCGTACTGTTCCGTGATTGGTCAAATTGATGACACGTGCTGAGGACTGGTTTGTTTACTGGACGTCTTACAAGTGAATCTATTGTATAAATCGCAACGAAGGTCAAATGTGCACTGGTATTTAGGTTAACAACAATGCTGTCATTGACGTAGACGTTTGCATGTAGCTAATGTCCTACCCTCATGAATGACTACGAAGGTGTCTTTGTCCGTCGCCTAGCAACCATCTGTTAACAATGGTATTAAACACGCTGGGAATTCGCGCTTATCGACCAACTAACCAACTTGAATCGTGCTCTTCGCAGAGTAACACTGCGATCTGTTCGTAGAGCGCAATAATCGACATTCGGCGTGTCGCACAATCGCGTCACAGTGTTTGTTTTCAAACACCCTTACATACCCCTCTGTCTTTGAAATACGCTAGGTGAATTTGTGATCAACATTGTAGTTATTTGATCGGCCCTGATAATGCACTGGCATCGGGTCGCGCTTATTGTCATTCAAATGTATCATTATTTACGATGCGTACAAGTTCGAGGCTAATGACTTTCGGAAGATAATTTAAGGTAGCGAGAAGTTTTTGTGACGTTTTTAAATAAAACATTCTCTGTCTGTTGTCTCGTTCAGAACAGTAATTTAGGCTATATATATCAAAAGACTAAGTATAGAGGTGCAAGTTCGCACAAACTGGACAGACATTGTTTACATAATTATCACGTGACATCAAAAATGGCGAACCTTGTAAAAATGACTAAGTACGCGATTGCGAGAGCACACTGCGGAATTTCCTGGTGAAATTTAAGTTATGCATTGTCCGTAATCAAGTCCATTGAAATGCGTCTCCGATAATCAAAAGACCTATTATCCGATTTCTA